AGACTCAGCAATCTGAAACCACGTTTCAGCATTATCTGGCCAATATGGTACTAGCTGGATTGTTTTGGCGGTTGAGCGAATCTGAATAACCTTGGGGCTAGGATCACTCATGACGAAAAGTATGCCGATAACAATATAGTACAAGAATAAACACAAAAAGGAACGAACTCACCGGGTTTATCTGCGTGTGAATTGAAGATGTAGTTCGTGGTCGGGCTCACCAGTTTAGAGGGCTGTAGGTATCGACGTTCGCGAGTTGTACGGATTATACTAACGCAAGATCTTATACCAACAACCACTATAGTGTTCGTTCTTCGAGTACCAAATGGTAAAGCAAAAGACCAGATTTTGTCGTCCAAAGTACGTATTATATTTCGGGACAAAATCGCGGGTAGAGGTGAATGCTTAGCTAGCTAGTAATCGTGCACGCACGTGACACGACGAAGCACCAAATGGCGGGGATGCTTGACCGTAAGCCTTCAGCTAAACAAGTCGACTTAAACAGTGATGGTCAGCATCCAATGTTGAGTGATGATTGCTGTGGTTAATAATTTTGGGGAATTATTTACCGCTACAGCTCACTCCCCCCCCTAGTGGGTTTGTGAGGACCCTAAGACATGACCAGCCGGAAGTAAAAATATCTCGATGGTTCCCTGATGGGTGAAAAAAATCTTCCGAGCGGCTTGATGGAGAGCCTGCTGGTCTGTCTGCCTATGCTAATAGGGTGTCTGTACATAGCTTCTTCGATGTTGTTCGTTGGATCCCGTGCTTCGTTTGTTTCCGGTCCAGTGCCCGTTGCACCTGGAAAAGAAGACAAGAATGCTGAGAACCTTGTCAAGAAAAATGTACCAAACAAGCGTTTTTTTACCAAAAAAATGACATGCATCTACTATACAGTAAAATAATGTAAAGTTCAAAATATCGGGAAAAAAAATATACATCTAATTTAATTTTATGTACGGTTATAGGAAAAATATCATTTACTTGTGTTAAATGACGCAACATAAAAAAAATTGATGTGTCACTCAGTTATGTGAAATAGGTATGAAGGTATTCTGGGAATCTAACGTGACGTCCAGAACGCGTTTTCTTAGAGTGATCGACCGAAGTAGCCAGTGGGCGAATGCCCTGACAGTCAATAGTGTGACCCCAAAAATCGAGTGAGTCAACGCCTATTTGACACTTCTGTATATTGATGGTAACACCATGTTGGCGTAACCTTTCAAATGCCAAGTCCAAGTGTCTAAGGTGAGTTTCCTTATCTGGACTGGCAATGAGGCAGTCGTCTAAGTATGCGTATACAAAGTCGAGACCGCGAAATACTTCATCGATGAAGCGTTGGAATGTTTGGGCCGCATTCCGGAGGCCAAATGGCATACGTAGGAATTCGAAAAGTCCGAAAGGCGTGATGATAGCCGTTTTCGGAATATCTTCCGTTGCCATCGGGATTTGGTTATATGCTTTAACCAAGTCGATTTTGGAGAATATAGATGCTCCAGATAACGTTGCCGTCAAGTCGTGTATGTGAGGCAAAGGGTAGCAATCAGGAGTTGTTTTGGCGTTCACTCGCCGGTAATCACCAGTGGGTCGCCAATCGTTACTATCCTTTTTCGGTACCATATGCAACGGGGATGCCCATGGACTATTCGATGGCCGAATGATGCCAAGGGTGAGCATATGATCGAATTCGTTTCTGGCAATTCTTAGTTTGTCAGGGGCCAGTCGTCGTGCTTTAGATGTCACGGGCTGTCCTGAGGTTATGATGTGGTGCATAACATTGCTGGTTATGCACGGGAGATCGTTAGATGGGCAATTCAGTTCCGGATATTTGTCAACAATCGGTTGAAAAGTTGGATCGAGGATTGCTTTCATCTTAACGATTGACAAGCTGGGGCCTACGTAAGTTATGCCTTTGATAGACAAACTAGTAGTGTTGTCAATTAGTCGTTTACGGCGGACGTCTACGAGCAAATCATGATGATTAAGTAGGTCCGTGCCGATGATGGGCATTGTGACGTCAGCGATTAGAAAAATCCACCGAATAGGTTTGCGTAAACCTACGTTCAGATAGACGTATTTCCGACCATAGGTTGCAATTGGTTTTCCATTTGCAGCCTGTAGGTTGAAGTTAGGATCCTTCTGTCGATCTGCTGCTGTAGCAGGAAGGACGCTGACTTCGGCGCCTGTGTCGACTAGATATCTAGTCTGGCTCATTACATCATGGATGTAAAGTAAGCGGCTAGTGCCACCGGCGACGGTTGCCGCTAACGCGTGCCGGCGGGATAGTTTCCCACAGACTTGGAGGCTTTGCCGAAATCACAAGGTTTTCGACAACATTTCGCTTCCTTGCCATAGGTGTTGTGATACCAACACCAGTCAGGATTTTTGAGAGAGCGTGTGTTGGACTTAGATCGTCCACGTGCGCTTTGCCGTCGAGGGGATTTAGAACGACGATAGGAGGAATTGCTAGGCTTGTTTGACCTAAGCATCTGCTGGACGGAGTTGATTAACTCTATCATTGCAGAATCCTTCGAAGTCTGTTCGGTAACAGAGTATACTTCGGTAACTGGCCGTTTCGTTATCTCTAGAATTCTATCTGCAGAGACAGCTAAATCATCTATGGGAACACCCTGAAGTGTCACAAGTACAGTCTGAACTGACTGTGGCAGTTTGGATAAAAATAGTTCTCTAAACAGTCCTTCATCGAACTGACTTTGGCCAATGATCTCTTTCATTCTTGCCAGCATGCTCACGGCTGACTGATCTCCTAACCCGATGTTACAAAATAACTCATCCAGACGTTGTCGATCTGTGAGAACGTTTCTCTTGAGGATGGATGCTTTGAGCAACTCGTACGAGTTACTTACCGACATCTGCAGAGTTACGCACCTGCTGAATTCCCGCGGTAGGGCGTGAATAACTGCGAGGAACTGTGAACGTTGATCGGTTATGCCATGTTCACAAAAATCAGACTCAGCAATCTGAAACCACGTTTCAGCATTATCTGGCCAATATGGTACTAGCTGGATTGTTTTGGTGGTTGAGCGAATCTGAATAACCTTGGGGCTAGGATCACTCATGACGAAAAGTATGCCGATAACAATATAGTACAAGAATAAACACAAAAAGGAACGAACTCACCGGGGTTTATCTGCGTGTGAATTGAAGATGAAGTTCGAGGTTGGGCTCACCAGTTTAGAGGGCTGTAGGTATCGACGTTCGCGAGTTGTACGGATTATACTAACGCAAGATCTTATACCAACAACCACTATAGTGTTCGTTCTTCGAGTACCAAATGGTAAAGCAAAAGACCAGATTTTGTCGTCCAAAGTACGTATTATATTTCGGGACAAAATCGCGGGTAGAGGTGAATGCTTAGCTAGCTAGTAATCGTGCACGCACGTGACACGACGAAGCACCAAATGGCGGGGATGCTTGACCGTAAGCCTTCAGCTAAACAAGTCGACTTAAACAGTGATGGTCAGCATCCAATGTTGAGTGATGATTGCTGTGGTTAATAATTTTGGGGAATTATTTACCGCTACAATCTTCATCCAGGGCTTCTCACGGAGCTATCCGGTCAAATAGCCAGCTCGCTGACTATGGTCCTCAAGCCATGCCCTCTAAATGGAGTGTTGTTTAGTGACTGGAAGGACGTCAGAGTAAATCCTGTCCACAAAAGTGAATCAAGACACAGCCCTTCAAATTACAGGCCTATTAGTCTCATCGGTACTTTGATCAAAAAACTGGAAAGAATCATCAAGAAAAGCATTATGGCATATCTGGAAAGCAACAGCATATCATCCAGAACATAGCATGGCTTTCGAGAAAACCTCTTATGCCTGTCAAATCTCCTTCCTGCAAAAGAAACGTGGGTCAAGTCGAGGGACAACAGAAGACCAGTCGATGGCGGCTTCATAGACTTCAGCAAGGCCTTCAATAAAGTTTCTTACATAGGACTACTCACGGAGTTGGCAAGTCTTGGTATCGAAAGCAAATTTCTTAACTGGGTTAGGGAATCCGTCTTAAGTAAGAGGCAGAGTGTTAGGATCATCCCAAAGGTCTCCTTCTGGACAGCAGCTAGTAGTAGATTGCCACAAAGCACGGTGCTTGAGACACTTATTTATTTTGTAAACCAATGAGTTATATGCGCTGGCCGATTCCCCATTTGTCTTATTCGCAGACGACTTAAAACTCCAGCGAGAGCTGAAGGGCAACAGTGATACGCCTGCGTTGCAAAGGGACCTAAATAAACTGTCAGAGTTATCCAAAGAACGGATGTTCCCAATCAAATGAGCAAAATGTGCACCCAAATGTATTGGACACGCGAACATCAGTCTCTACAAAATTAAGGGTATAACATCCCCATCAGTTCAGACTCGTTTGGATTTAGGCGTCATAGTAAGTAACGACTTAAAAACTACACAGCAATGTTATGTGGTGTATGCACGTAGTTTCAGATCTTTGTGGGCAACTGACAGAGCTTTCATCAGAATCACTGTAGATGTGTTCACCTCTGCGTATATCTTCGGGGAGGTCAAAACAAAAAAACTATATCCAGGCAGCCAGTCTTTGTCCTAAAGAGGACATGCATATTCCAGAAAGGGTTCAGAACATTACAACACATGGGATTCCTGGTATAACTACTCTATCATACTAGACTAGAATGATTAAATCTCTTCTCCCTACCGTAAGGTAGGCAGAGAGATTTAATTACAATGTTTAAAACATTAAATAGTGACTAAGGTCCTCCTATATTCTCTTTTTTCTTCCCAATGGGTTTCAACACCTTAGAGGACATGGCAGGAGAGTTCGAAAACCAAAGAGAAACCATTTTGCCGTGGAGTACTGCTTCTCACGCAGAGTCATAAAATCTTCAAAGCGACTCCCAGTAGGGGAAGTGTCTGCAATCTCAACTTATTCATTCAAGAAGGATTTGGACCGGCACAGAAATTTACTATAAGAGGATTAACATGGGTTCAAGCCTTCAATCCTCAGTAAACGGATCTGGATCTAAATGTCCTAGGCGCGCTATTTTTCGGTTACGTTACGTTTGTGTCAAAATGTTTGAAGTCGTAACAAGATTGATTGGGGATTTGTCGTCTTATTTCACGGAAGTTCAAGTTTCTTTCATTAAATACATTGTGGCTGCCCTTTTATTTACGTCCACATCGTTATTTTTTGTTCGTCGGAGTTATAATAAGGAATCAATTAGTAATTCGACAAAGAAACCGAAGACACGTATCAAAAAAAGTAAAAGTAAAACTTTGGATGAAAGGGCTTCTTCTTTGGTAATGAAAATTTTTTAATATGTCTTTAAATCCTTAGGATGATGACCGTAGAGAAACCAAAAAACCCACAGTCGTGATACCCAACCAAGTTGTAGAACACAATCCTACTCCTGCCCCAATTTCCTTCCAAGATTCTAAAATGACTCAGAATTTAACGAAGGTAAGTTGTCATATAACTATACAGCGCCTTAGGATGTTTCATTGTCTGAAGAAAACAATGACCAATGGGTAACTGTTAAGAGAAGCAAAAAAGGAGAGCAGCAGACGAAAAGTAAAAGTAGTTCTAAAGAGCCTGTGACTGTGGTTCATGAAGTCGTCAAGACGAAAAGCAAGAACTCTGTCGATCAATCTGGATCGGATAAACTGTCAGGTGGTGAGTCTCGTGCTTCAGCAGCCAAGAAGTTGCCACCTGTACCCCAAATTCCACCCTTCAATCCACCTACTTCTGAATCTGATGGTGAGTGGCATGAAGTGAAACTTTCTAAGAAAGGACGTAAATCAGCCAAGAACTGAGTCTTCGATTACTTCGGAACTGTACATATCCCCTGTGATTTCTTTAAGTGCCTAAATTGCTATGCAGAGATATTGTCGTTCTTTCATTCCACTTTATGTTATGCCACTGTTATATTTAATTTCAGTATGTACTAATGTATTGTATCACTTGGGATTTGATTGCTGGCAGTCACCGAGCTTTTGATTTTCTGTCAGCTACACTTTTCCTTACGTTTATACGGCTCACCATTTGTAATAATATGACCCTGGTGTACAACAATGTTGTTTTGCTAAAGTCCCATCCTGAGTTTGTAGTAATAGTCATCTCACCTTTCTTTCATTATGATTTAAGTTAAATATTTATAAGGGTGGTCGGTGAAATGATTCTGAATAACCACCTGAATATCCATACTTATCACATGAACCACACTTTGTAAGGACTCAATTGCCACAGTAAAGTATCAATTCCCTTCTGAATAGTTATAAGTCGTGTATAACCAATGGACTGTAGCTTAATTTATGTTAGTTACGCGGATTAGTCGTTCGTGACATATTGACGATGAACACTTACTGCAATGTTCTATCTACAGTTCTTTCAGTGTTGGATATTCATGGGTGTTAAAAAGTTTAGCTGCAGTGTAGTAAATTCCCACTTACTTTCCTGTTTATCTTACTTTTGGTTTGTTATTGTATTGTATATGTTTGGGTTATCATTTAGTTTATCACTAAGGACGCTCACACTAATCGTTTTTATATAGCTTTGTTATACCTGTTTTGGTGATGAAAACTGCTGGTCGAATTGTCTGCCATTTTTAAGGCTTTGTATGTATTTCTTGCTGCATCAGCCCAAATGAACTGAATAGTCAAAACATGTATTAGTCAGCAAGGTGCGTGATCAACTACTTAAAGTGGAGCTGATTACGCAATATTGTTCTTATGCCGTACAACCGTAAGGGTTATGTTTCTCGATAGTGTGTATTATTTTAGCATTCCTCATGTGCGATTAAACTACGATAACCAATATACCGCTAAGTTAATCCGGTTTAATGAAGACAGTCTGAATGCATGTTCGTTCATGTAGTAATAAGTCAACCAACTCTGGCTGCGTAACCCTCCGTAGGTCACAGGAAATCCAAAGTGGTTGGAAGCTGGATTTTCAGACTGGTGTCACACTTCTTCTGAGTTTTGACACGGAGAGCTGCTTAAGAAATGCAGGTCCTCCAATGAGTTAGGTGGTTTTAATCATTTGAGATTTTTTTTGTGTGTATCGACGACAGCTAATAATGTTGAATGAAATGTAACTAGGTCTGGAAACACCTAGATTTAGTTAAGGAAGGGGATGCCATCTGTGTAATATTGGGTGTCACTTCTGATTTTCCAAGTCTAACAATGGCACAATCTCCGATGAAGATACCCGATAGCCAAACATTTGTAAGGCTTAGTGATTCTACATATTTTCAACCTTACCCCTCAATTTATGGAAATCTACCTGAAAAATTGTAGTAATTGAAATTTTTTTGAAAAAAGTAAAACTATGATGACGCGGGACTAATAGTTGAGAAATTGGGTCGGAGCTGCCGAATAACAGTTCAACTGACTCATAGTTGCTCACATATTTGCCAAGGGTTACAGCAAAACATATCCCTAAATGAAGATGAGATAGAGAAGCAGAAGTTGGTTGTTTGATCCCAAACGATTTTCAGAAATTGTAACTAACTACGGGGACAGACTTTTAGTTAAAGTTTAGGATTTCGGAAAACACCGATTAGTGTCCACGAAAAATACTGTATCGCTATCCTTATTTTATCATAAATGTATTAGTGCATGTGACTTTTTGACTCCGACAACTGAGATTTCGAGGATGTAGATAGCATAGTCTTTGATAGTAAAGATGTTGATAAAATGTAATCTTGTTCTCAATGTTTGCTCTAATTAAGTGTGAAATAATACCAAACTATCCTGAAGACCAGGGACCGAAGTGGCATCAACCCTAATGCCCCAGTCGCTGACAAAATTTCCGTACAGATACAGAAAGCTTACTGACTTATGTTGTATTTGTGTGGGCGAAATATCCTGCTATTTGTCAAAAAGCTTGTATTCTACGCAGCGATTCTGTTCGCCTTACTTAAAATGGCAAGGATTAGAAACTGTTCAGGCTATGTTGGGCAATGTATTAAACAAGGAGAGTTAGGCGTAGTGTTAGGTAAAGGTGGAAAGCCAGTCTGTGAGGTTTAGTTGACTGCGACATGTGTGAAGTATGCTGAGTCACCGTCTTATCTACAAGCAGTGTTAGATGACATTGGATCAGATTGGAAAAGATTTTGGGGTGGTCAGACCAAAACACAGTAGGAGTCTATACAGTCTTTTATTATTGGTTTGAGGCAAGCAGAGAGATTTGGATTGTCTGGCTGAATTTTTTCAGGTTTTCCTAGGGATCAGTAGTTAAAAAATCTTGGTGACGTCTTAAACTCGTTTATATTGTCAGAGGTGTCTTCACACTGTTATCTGTGATATTACGAACTTCTCTTAATCGAATTATTTTGTCCTATTAGTCCAAATGATTTTATTTCAAGACAACATAGTGGCATGAATTTAGAGTAATGTGAGCAGTGATGAGTAGATCAGTCGTTAAACTGAGAGTACGAAAATATATAAATACTGCAGAATAGTTAAATATTTAACTGAAAACGATCGTTATCCGTGTATATATTCACATTGTGAATGGTTTTGAGCACTATTAACGGAATTCTTTAATAACTAAGCTTCTCATATTAGTAAACATAAATTTACTCTATCGATTTTAGTCTGCTGCTCTACGCGTAAAATGCCTACCCTGTCAGTGATTACATAACAAGAGAGCAATGAGCTCCTGGTTATCTGTTAGTGATGCATATACATTCCAATCAGTTATGTGTTATATCAGTATTCTGTAATGCCCCATGCATCTGGTTTCCTACAGCATTGTAATATCACACTTGCACCAAAAGGATCGTATTTATTAGTATCTGAGGTCGGATTCATTGCTTGTTGGCCCATGCTGTACGTCACTAGAAACGTGTGCAAAATAGACTGAGGAATGAAAACAACAGTATGTTTCAAAAAGCTGCAAGATAGTATTAGAAGGAATAAGTGAGATTCGCACCATTCTAGTCCATCCAACTGAAACGTGTGGAAGTAAATTTCTTGCACGTGTCAATTTTCAGTCTGATCAATATTGGTTCTATCGATTTCTGCCACAGCAGGATATACTGGAACTAAACGTTAATAACACTTCACGACTAATATGATCCTCAACTATTATCGCCACATGATAGCACCATCTATTTTGAACACTTAGTTTCTATCCTCAATCTGCTAGATTAAATTTAAGAGTGCACGTTCTGCAAGTAGAGAGTTCTTAGCTCTATCCATCACAGAGATGGGTGAGCACTACTGAAGCTTGCATCTTCAGAAACAGTGGTTCTAATTCTTCAATGGTCCTCCGATTATTTCACGGATTAATATCAGCTAAAGGACCATCGAAAAGCTGACAGCACTGTTTCCTAGTTTGTGACTCTCCAGAAGTGCACACACATGACCCCACCTGGGACCGAACTCAGGACCCCCAGGTTTCGAGGAGCGCTTGTTGACCATTCAGCCACTGGGACGGAATCCGATAGCCCATGAATCCTAACTTTTATCAGTTTGCGATTAATTTCAGTTTGTGATAAAATATATTTCTCAAACAAACTTCGGCAAGTAAATCTGTAATTAGATTGTGTTCTGGACAGATGCATAATTCTTCATATATCCCTTTTCTTTTAACAAGTTGAATAGTTTGCGGATAGTAGTGAAATTCGAACTATATAGTATGTGACTAACACTAACAGGATAATATTTTTCAAGTACTTCTTATAAACTAAGTGTTTTATATTACAGCTAAACTTAATCATTGGATAACTAGGAGCACTGGTGACTTATTTTTCAACAGAGATAATTTAATCTATGTTTGAACCATCTAAAGCAGCCTTGAGTTGAAATACTGCTACTGGTATAACAGGTGATGATTGGCAGTGAAATGTGGAAATCTGGGTCTTGGCAAGATTCTCATTAAGTGGCTAGCAGAGCCGTGGACTAGATGTAATTTAGTAGGATATTAGTTAATTAACAATGATAGTTTCGTTTTGTTGTTGCATTCTGTGAGCTGCAAAATGTTCACTGTTCCTCCAGACAACTTAATTGAATTCTTCATGAATGATATAATTGCATCTCTTGATAACCTTTGTCGTGATTGTTTGTTAGTTTGCATCAGTATTGATCTTATTTACTGACTTACTTTTATCCACTTTTATGCAGTTGGGAGTTCTGAAGTCAGAGGAAGATTTTACCATCATTTGAGTGTATCATCTTTATAAGTCGTAATATTAGTAAGCCCCAGGGTAAGGATCTCTCAGAAATGAACTCATACATGGAGATATGGCTCTTAGTTAAAATGGGTTGGATGGAGACATAACTCGCCAATCTGTCACAAACCTGAAGCTGCCTAATAATAACTGAATGTTTATAGATAGGCTAGTCTTATATCAAAATTTAACGCTAATATCCTTTCAGAACATGCCGTTGAACAACTACAGGATGGTGGGCAATTTTAAACTGCCACTTTGAATGTTAACTAGTAAAACAGTTTTCTCCATCGTTACACAGGTTTAAATCCCTTTAGAGCAATAAGTGTTGTACCAAGATATTTGATACAACCTTGTGGAGAATTCAAACAAGAGTGAGATTGTGTTTTCTTAATGAACGAATTGACTTCAAATCGAATTACTTCAAACGTTTATGTGATAAAATCGCGACTATCGTAAGACATAATCAAAGCCGGTAAAAAGCTAGTAATGGGTAAAAAGATATATATATATTCATTCGAGGTTAGTTGTTGTCAGTTGGGCATGCTACTAGGAAGCTTAGTCAACGTGTCACTGAATATCTCCCACCGTGGTTTGGTAAAGGACAAACAGGAATTATCTGGAACTCCGTTTTGTCGCATTTATTTGAAAAGTGGATAGTGAGTAGACGAAAGTAATCAATTTGATTCATCTCATCCCCATCGGACTTTTGCACTAAATACAACTGGGATGATTAGTCTTCGAACTATTAAGCCAAAACTGTGCATTCAGAAGAAGTTTGCATTGTCAGTATCCCTCCGTCAGCTAGTTGAGACCTAACCAACTACCTACTCCACCGCATCTTGTATAAATTAATCCCTTTGTGAATACCTCTTCCTTAGTCTTATTGTATCTTCATCAGAATTTATATTTTTATTTATTACTCTTACAATCTAGCATCAATTAACCTGACCTTGTTTTTCTTAAACCTTATTTATTATGTCTATCTGAACATTTGTTTACATAATCATGCCACTTTTCATCATTTTTGTTATCACGAATTACTCCACTTCTGTTACTGTTGTTATTGTGACTAATTGTACAATTTATGTGAAAAATCTTATCATTTTATTGACAAATCACCATGATTGGTCTATATTTAATATTTTATCGTCAAGTTATGTATATTAGAGTCAGCCCTGATTAAACCTAGTTGAAAAGTATATTGTTCGCCTACTTATGTTGTTCTAAACTGAAATATTTAAAAAAAATAAATTATGTAAATAAAAGTATCTTTTTTTATTGTCTGATAGATCACTATCTACAACAAAAAATACTAAAAAATAATGATAAATTGATTTGTTATCCTTGTACATTTTCAAAGACACCTATTTAGACATTATCATTTAATTGAACTGTGATTCAATGAAGTTAGGTTATAACAGTTAGTCAAAACAGCATTCACTTACCTCGAACAAACTTTTCATCTACTAGGCTAATAGTCACGCTTATTGTGTGATGAATGATGATGCCACGGCTGAAATAGGTACAGCTGGATTCAAACCCAGTACCCAATGACTGACGGTCAACTTATAAGGCTAATGAGCTACACATGCACGTTAAGTTACTAAGAATGTCGTATGTAGACTAGTTTATCTTATTAAAAATAATGCACTATCTCGTTCACATTAAATTAAATAAAATTTAATTCTAAATATAAATAAAATATGTATGATTAATGGAACTTATCTATTAATTAGTTAACGTGAATAAGTTAATAAGAAGGTCAGAGAACTGTAGCGACCAAAACCAACTTGTTGTGGTCTGAACGTCGGGAGTCGATCTTTTACATTCTACTGTATAGCTGTCTGAAACTTCCTTGAAACACGCACAGTCACAAATGCTCTAAAGACAACAAAAAAAGACTTTTCCAATAAATCTGTTTTAAAAAAGGACCAAGTTTAGAAAAGCAGAATAATGCTATAGACTGGTAAAATTACAACCATTCCCATAAGTGTATTAATGATAAAACATAATAAACAAAGGCTTACACAGAAATGTTCAAAATCGATGCATAAAGAGAAGTTTTTGTGAAATAGTAGTAATCAGATAGGCAGTATGAATTGTGGTAAGCTATGCGAAATACTCTTCACTTTATCACTAATCATTGGAAAAGATTTGTGTAATTAAAGAAGTGAATACATATGGAGAAGTGTTTTTAAAACAATTTTCAAGATGATATGAAATACGCATAAATAGATTCTTCTTATTTATCACTGTTCACGGAAATATGAGCAGGTAATTAGGCTTCAATTTCTGTTATGGCTGTACCTTTATCCTGATATCTGTCTTTCTTCTCAAATGGTTTAAATATTCGAATTGAACAGGTTAAATCTTCGTCAACTGACATCACAGCATCGGTATTATTGAATTCTCCACAGTAATTGGGTACAGAGAACAAAGTAACTAGTCGACGGTTACAAAAAAATTCATAACCATTTTCAACCACTTGATGTGCTCGACAAATTAAATCCATTTCACGTCGGTTAAGGAATTCGGTGACTACATCTTGACCGAATAAAAAGCTAACTCCTCGATCATATACAGCCCAATCATTGACATCCTTATCTGGATCTGGCCATAGGATATCACATAAAAATCCTTCGTAGGGAATGGCCTATGGTCTCATAATGTGCCTTATTTGATTTATACTATGCAAATCTGGAGATAATCCACCGTGACAGCAAAATATTTTAGAATCTACAGTTGCAGCAATCAGTAAACAATTGAAACAATCAGTAAATGTTTTCCATAATCGAATACTGAAACGTCGTTTACATTCATCATAAAAGCCATAAATTCGACTGATCGAGGCACATTCTTGGTTACCGTGAAGAAGGAAGAAATTCTCTGGATGTTTTATTTTATATGCCAGTAGAAGACAGATTGTTTCTAAACTGTGTTTGCCTCTGTCAACATAGTCTCCAAGGAACAAATAATTGGATTCTAGAGGGAAACCTTCGGATTCAAAAATACTTAATAACTCTGTATAGTGACCATGGATATCATCACCTCAAATTTTTAAAGGAGCCTGAAGTTCCAGCAAAATAGGTTGTGATAAGAATATCCGTCTGGAAAATAGACAGAGATATCGAATTTCCTCCTCTTTCATGTTAACCGTCGTCTCAGACCTAGACTTCCGGACTTCCAATAGTCTGCTGATAAATTCATCTGTGTCTAATCCCGAATTCATGAATAAGGTAATGCAATTAACAGAATCCCGCAAATAAGGGTTTCATTTAATATTTATACACTATTCAACTAAAAGAGGAAAGATAATTTAGGTCAAAATATGTACGAATATTAATCAATAATTTACTATACTGCACTGAAATCAAATTATGCGTTCGTCATGTGATTATTGTTTGATTTAATTTGAGTCATTTTTTTTTCACAATTTAACATTCACTTGTGTACTTAAAATGAGTGTTCATACGTGATAATAAAAAAATCAATTCTTTACATTAATTTATTAAATAAAGGATTAAAAAAGAGGAAAAGAAACACCAACAACATCAATATAAGTATAAAACTTGGGCACTGTGGTAGAGTATAACTCCATAATGGATAAGATTTTATTTTGATAAATCACACAGTGTTGTACAGTTATATTAACTGATGACGTTTCGAGCACAGTTAATATAACTGTACAACACTGTGTGATTTATCAAAATAAAAACTTATCCATTATGGAGTCAACAACATCATTGGCGGTCAACAACGCTCAAATAAAGTGTCATCTCTAAACTGATGAAGTCAACATCAAGTACGTATTTTAAGTGGAATAATTGTAAAAAAAGGCAAAGTGCAGTGGGTAAATTAGATAAATATATTGACACATGACAGTGCATATCACGCATACTGACTTGATTGTTGTTTACTTCTGTTGTGTGTATGTTTTTTTCTTCTATTTCTTTATGTGCTGTTTACTGTTTAGTTCATTTACTGGTATTTTTATCAAAAAAGAAGAAAACAAAACGGAACATTTGAAAAAGGAGGAGTATAAAATAATTACTAGAAAAAAGAATTAAGTTAAACCGGGTAGGAGCGTGTCGCAGGCTTATTGAAGTAATTGTTTCAAGTAAGGCGTTTTTAATAGGCTTGTTTTCTCTGAGCTGGGTGGTTTAACTGCAAAGTATTCATTGTACTGCCAGACGACAATGTCTAATAAGGTAGTTTATTATGATTTCCAATGTATGGAAAGAGAAAGAAACTATATATATATATGCACTCACCCATTAGCACTAACATAAAATGCATTGTCAGATACGAAGATTCAAGTCATTGTAGACTGCATATAAAATAAACACTTAAATACAATTTACTGTGTTCAAGACTTAGTGCATTTATTCTCTGAGTGGTAAGATGAATAGGTGAAACTAGGTAAAGTAATTTTTTTTAAAAGATACATGTCATAAGATTGTATTTCCGCTAATTTGTGTTTCAACTTTGAAAGCAAAAATCAAATAAAGAAAATTTTTCTTCTTAAAAAAATATTTACTGAACTTACTTGTACTAAATTAAACAAACTGATGCACAAGTGTTGGTTTGTAGAGATTTGATTGGTTACAGGATTTTCATCATGAGCTGACATTAGTTAGAGAACCATTGGGAAACCTGGGAGTACTGGACAGCTGTTTCGTCCTAGTTTGGGACTCTTTAGCGGTACGCACCCACCGGGATTCGAACCCAGGACCTTCTGGTTACAAGGCGAGCTCGTATACCATTAAGCCACTGGGACCCGATCCAATGGCCCATGAATTCTAACTTCTGCCAATTCACGATATAGGGCGACCCCTAGCCAATGTCTTCGGCGAGTATTTGTCCTCACACGCGACCTGCTGCACCCTACTGGTCACGACTTCTCACTAGAACCCCAAGTAACTACCTACCTGAATAGGGCAAGTCGCTAGTGAGCATCTCATTGATATTCAAGTGTTGGTTTGTAGAGATTTGATTGGTGACAGGATTTTCATCATGAGCTGACATTAGTTAGAGAACCATTGGAAAACCTGGAAACTGATGCACATTTATGACACTATATACCACTGATTGACTGGTAAGAGTAGTTGAATACCAGTCATATCAATCAGTAGTGTTTGCTAGCGAGATCGAACTACTGTGAACACGCTGTTTCACCTGTTTAGGGCGTAGTTTGAAGTGGATGCGATCTGAATAATTTTCAAGGGAGAACTGCAGTGGAATATCACATTAAACTGTATAAACTGCAAGCCAAGAATTAATTTGCAAATTAATTGCAAACTGTGACTGAAAAAAGATAATTAGACTGAAAAAAACCTTTCTATAATTTCTGTGTTGACAATGAACTTAGTACTGAGCATCCTATTCAGATTGATGATAGAACATCAATAGCTGTGCATCGGTGTATTTATTAGAAACACAGACAGCTCAGTTAGTGACTCTGTAGGTAAATGGTTCCCTTAGTTTTGTTTTTATTTGCCTTTAATTTCGTGCTGATATGAAGAGCTACATTTAGTATATCGACTGATGTTTTTTCAAATACTACTAAATAAGTGATACTGGATGCATATTTAGTCTGTAGATTCATTTCTATTTATTTAAATCTCTCTGTATATTATATATATAGTTGATTATCATTATGTTTTACTGGAATTGTTACTTGAGACAGTAAAAGCTCTCACCAACTGTTCACCTTTTGTCTTATTTCACGTTCAGAGATATTGCTGTTATAGTGGTTGACGTTTTAATTGTGAACAGTGTGGTAAGTCGTATTATCGGTCACAATATATTCTCCTTTATGTGTTTGAATAAAGCGAAAGCAACGGTTTGTTCAGAATAAAATTTTATGACTGCCTTTTCATGGAACCTAGATAGATTGGCAATGTTATAATCTCAAAGTAGAATGAAACACCTGTAAGTTGCTGGTTGCACTTACTAAAGACTTCGCCTCTTAATACCCTACCTAACGTGTAAGCTCCGACTAACGAACTGGAAGTAAATAGGCTTCTGGCTTGGTAGTGTGCCCTGATAAGAATTAAATTTATTACCACAGATGAAATGACAAATTTAATATATAAGAATGTTGTACAACTTATCTGAAGTGATGCGGAATAGCCGGCCCGGAGAGTGTGCTTGTAGGCAGAACAGTGAGGAGGCGTGCAAACGTAATGGCGTCCAGATAAAAAAAGTATAGCGTAGTGCCCATATTACAAGTACAAATTAAAACAAAAATTGAAAACATTGAAGGTGCACTACAGGTTGTTCCCCTTTTAGAAGGCTGGTGGGACACCGGCGACCTTCGGTCCGTGAACATAACAGGTTTGCAGTTCGTGATTTGTATACCACTAAGAGAAAAAAAGAAGAATAAAAAGGAATAAAGAAGTAAGGTTAAAAGGAAAAGAAAAGGTGTAAGGTAAAGATGGATACTGTGTACATGTTGTGTGGAATAGAGAGGAAAATGGAAGAAAAGACGCTGGCTGTCTTAGTGCGATTTGACAGAGTGTTAAGTTTAAAAATTTAAAGCAATTAGTTCCCTTTATGAATTTCGACAAAACAGATAAACTACGTCTTCTTATTGTGTTGTCGAGAGTGTTAAGTTATTATTTTTTTTGTACAGATTTATTTATTTATTTGGAACTCTGTACGTGTATGGGGCTACGTGCCACATACTGATTGAGCGCGGGAACTGGTGGTACCACCCCGATGCTCAGGCTGAGACAGAAGGAATGTGATTCATTTGGTCTAAGTTGAGTCTTAGACCGATGCTTCACTCCTCCACCTCATCAGTGAGCATTAATCAATACTAACGACAGCAAATATACCAGCGTAGTAGGAACAAGAAAAAAGAAAAGGAAACAGGAAGGTGACGTTGAGATTCCAAAATTGATATAAGATTATCACATAAGCTAGAGCCTGTAAACACTTAAGGTGCACTAAACACCTGTCCAGTTCTCTTCAGCTTTTCTAGTGATGCTCAAACTGATGGATAAAAATAAACTAAAAAGTGAAAGTAACTGAAGTATAGTAAATTTAATTTACAAAACAAATATCTATCCACTAGTACTTACCCATTTAAATTTCCTTACATCTTTATGAGTGGATAGCTTCAATCTACAATGTTTCTTTTTGGATAATTTTCTGAATTCTTTGAAAAATTTGAAAAGCTATTCTTGAGTAAAATTTTGCATAGGTATCGTCTGTCCTGAAAGTTTTATCAACTACTTCTGAGTGCGGGTTATAATCTCATAGGCGAAACAATGAATGTGAATGACAATTTTCTGCCAGTAAATATAGGCGGTTACAGTGTATCAGCATGAAGGAGTTGAAATTTTCCAACGGCTAACCACTGATACTTCATCCATTCATTCTCCTTAATGAATTTGAATAAAGCAATAACAACACCTTTTGCAGAATAAAATAGTACCATCATTTATTTCATGTGCTTCTCATCAGCTGCTTACAGACCAACGACATAAATAAGTATGTATACAGAAACAATTTTAACATACTTGCACAGAGCTCATTTTTAAACACAAATCAATCAACGTATGCACACAATGTTAATAATGATAATAAAACTTCATCCTAAAGAATAATAATCATACACAATGGAAACTTTTGTCGTTGCGTAATCAGATGGAAGAGGGGATGAAAACATCCAGCTGCCAGCGCAAGGAAAGACTGATAACCGCTTTTTTGTGAAAGCATAAATCGGGTTTCAGGCGCTTTGTGGAGATTGCTTCGGTAAACTTGAAGAGGATAGAACTCTTTTGCCAATTGATAATTTCGAGTAATCTTGCGAAGGCCACCTCAAG